ATATAATTTCATTAAAAGTGCCTCCTTTTCAGTACTTTTATGAGAGGAAATATCATCACTCCTCAAAAAGGGTGCTATAGTCAGAGTCCCACCTTCTGACTCTAACAATGGGTTCTTCTCCCGGTACTTTGCAGTCACTAAGAAGGATGAAAGTATTAGGCCAATCATGGACCTTAGAGACCTCAGCAAATTCATACTGTATAGAAAATTCCATATGTTGATTCCATTCTCCCTCTTCCACCCCAGGGAAACTGGTTCATAACCATTGACCTCAAAGATGCATATTTTCATATATCAATACATCCTACTCACCAAAAGTTTCTCAGATTCCAGTTCAAGACTATCAACTCTCTGCTCTCCCTTTTGGGCTCTCGACAGCCCTCAGGACATTCACCAAATTTATGGCTCACGTGGTAGAGTATCTCCGTATAAAGGGAGTAGTGGTCTTCCCCTATATCGATAACTGCCTCCTGGTTGCTCAATCCTACCACGATGCCGTCAGAGCCACAAAACTCACATTGGACACTTTAGACAAACTGGGCCTAAAGATAAACCGCAGAATTCTCATCTAGAGCCATCTCAGCTCATTAATTACATCAGAGCCGAGCTCAATGCCCTAGAAGCAAAGGCGTTCCTACCATTCCAAAGAAGCATGAAAATTCAAAAGGCAGTGCACTGATTCCGGCCTTACAAGACCGTAACTTCCCATGACGCACAACACCTACTCGGCCTCATGGCATCCACAACATCAGTCGTCCTCCATGCCAGATTGAAGCTGAGGATACTCCAATCCTGGTTCATTTCTCATTTCAGCCCCGTAGTGGACTGCCCAGTAAAGAAATTGCTTATATCACCAGATCTGGCAGACCAAGTCACTTGGTGGTCATCCATCCAGAACTTATCAATGGGCAAGTCCTTCGAACCACCTCACCTGTCCATAGAAGTAATCACGGACACAAGCCCCTCGGGATGGGAAGCACACTGCCAAGAACTCCAGGTCCACGGCTTATGGACAAAAAGAGAGAGAAAACTTCACATAAATCAGTTAGAGATGATGGCTATCATGAACGCGCTTCAAGCCTTCCTACTGCACATCAAAAGAAGAGCGGTTCAACTAGTAATGGAGAACACTACGGCCATGCATTATATAAACAGACAAGGAGGGACACATTCTCTGTCTCTCCCCCACCTCACCATAAAATTTTGGGAATGGTGCCGCCATATTTTCTCTTAAGCCATCCATATTTCATCAGAGGACAACTACCTTGCGGACTGCCTCAGCAGGTTTCCCACCCGCATGCACATACGGTCTCTAAATGAGACGGTCTTCCGGGACATCTGCTTCAGATGGGGCCAAACAACGATAGACCTCTTTGCCTCCCAACGCAATACAAAGTGTCCCAGATACTGTTCGAGGGCAGGCATAGACACCAAGTCACTTGGAGATGCATTCATGACAAATTGGTCAGGAGAACTCTCCTACATTTTCCCTCGGATACCCATGTTACTCAAGATGGTCACCAGTATCATCCAATACCGAGCGGATGCAATACTCATCGTCCCGTGGTGGCCTCAACAGCCATGGTTCACCCACCTGAAAATAATAACAAAAGAGTTGTTTCACCTACCTGCGATACCAACCCTCCTATCCCAGAATGACGGATCCATTCTCCACCAAGATGTCGAATCCCTGCACTTGACCGCGTGGAGGATAACCCTGAGTTCCATACGATCCTAGACTACGCTTGAAAGCCATCCAATTCCCAACTCTATCAAGGCAAATGGCAGTCTTTCATTAAATTTACTCAATCTCGGGGACTCACTCCAGTCCCAACCTCCTTTAGAATGATACTCACCTTCATCCTGCATTTATTTAATCTTGGACTCGCTCATTCTACTATCAAAGTATATATCTCGGCCATTATAGCTCACCAGCCTCCTGGTTCTTGATTGGCTAAACTCTTTTCCCATTTGACACTCAAGAAATTTCTCAAAGGCCTGCAAAACATCAGGCCGCCGTCACAAAGAATTGTACCACAGTGGTCGCTTCAACTTGTCTTAGAAATGCTTACAAAACTGCCATTTGAACCCATGGCCACCTGTAACAAGAAACTGCTCTCTCTTAAAACCACCTTCTTACTAGTAATCAATTCAGCGAAAAGAGCCAGTGAGCTAGCAGCTCTGAGATCAGACCGTTCATATTTACAGATGCATCCTGATAAAGTGACTTTACACCCTGATGTTTCCTTCCTACCTAAGGTGATATCAGATTTCAATCTTAACCAACCTATCATACTACCAACAGTATTTCCATCTCCATCTACACCAATCGAGCACAAGCTTCATACACTAGATGTGAAAAAAGCTCTGGCTTTCTAACTAGATAGGTCAAAGTTCTTTAGACGTTCACAAAGACTATTCATATGCTATCACGGTCCCAACAAATGTGCTCCGGCCTCTTCTCAGATGATATCGAGATGGATAGTGCATACCATCCAGTTAGTATATCAACTTTCATGCAAACTGGTACCAGACCATTTGAAGGCACATTCCACCTGTGCAGTCTCCACATCGACCGCTCTGCACTGTGGCATGCAGATACAAAATATCTGTAGAGCAGCTACCTGGTTGTAGTAGCAAAGCACTACTGCCTTGATGTCAGAGCCAAAAATGATGCTGCATTTGGAAGGGCGATACTGACATCCTTACTGCAGTGACGGCCCTCCATCTAGTGAGTAAGCTTGCTAATCATCCATTTGTGTGCATTCACAGAGGCCACTGCGAAGAAAGTTAGGTTACCTACCTGTAACCATGGTTCTTGTAGCGGACCTCTGTCAATTCACACATCCCTCCCTTCCTCCCCTCTGTCCATCATGTTGCCTTTCTCTTAAATACTTACCTTTTGGTAACGGTTGACTAAGGGAACTGAAAGGAAGGTTGAGGAGGCAGAGCTTGTGCCCTGGGGGGACGGGACTAAATTGTTTCTTTTTTCTAAGCTCTAGAATCTTCCGGACGTCCTGCGCAGGCGCAGAGTAAAACCCATTTGTGTGAAGGTCCGCAAGAAGAACCATGGTTACAGGTAGGTAACCTAACTATTCTTGGCCACAACAGATATTTGCGCCTCCATAGAGAGGTCCAGGTCCAGGTCCAGGAGTACACCCAAACTGTAAATCTGATCCTTCAGGTAAATGTAGTAAAAATATATACAGAGAGCTGATGGCAACAGAATCTAGGAAGTAAATCTAATAATGTAATGTAGAATATGCTGTAATACAGATTTGGGCTTGTGTCTTGATGACATTTGAGTGGGTAGTTTATGAGCTAGTGAAATGGAAGACCTGGCTTCTGAAATGCACAGTATCATATTCTTAGAAAATAATGGTAAGAAAGATAATGAAAAAAAGAGAAGGGTATCTAAAGAAACAGCACTATGAACGAATGGTTGTGTATAAAAGATTGTACATTACTAATTTGTGTAAATCAGTCTAGAGTCAGTAATGTTCATAATCTGTGCCTGTGAAGGAGGATGCACCCAATAAATCAAATGCCTTCATACATTTAATACTGATCGCAGTCATCATGCAAACAAAACCTTTCCTTCTGTTGCTGGCAAAATGGTTTAATTATTGGGAATGGCAACTTTTCTTCCTCTGGATATATGATTTAAGATAGCCTTGTAAATGAATTTACAGCAGTTTTTTGCCTGCAAAAAGGAAAAGAAAAGTGACTAGCTTGCAGTGGCTGGTGAAGTAGGGACAGATAATTACGTTTTGGGGATGGCATGAAGGAGCAAGGGGCTTTACTGTGTCAACCTGCCTGGTGCAGGAGAAAGGCTACTTCATCCTTAGCCTATTCACTCACTTGTGTATGATTCATGATAATCTTTGGCAACCAGTGTAGCTCTTAAACAGAAGAATGATTTAATACTAAGGAAACTACATCTACTGTGCATAAGAGAATAGCAAAGCACCAGTCTGTGGTTTGGAAATCTATTCCTTCCTGTCATGGAGAGGAGGTGATTTCCAAACAGCAAACAAGTTGAAAGGCATTTGCTCTCTGAATCCTGACCACAGCTGTCTTTGGTATCCCCGGGCCCATAGTTATTCTGTCTTTGAATGTGGCGTGTCATGTTACAAATGACTTTTGAAAGCCCCCTCGATTTCAAAAGTTGTTTGACATGCTCAATAGTGTGAGCTGCATCTTGAGAAACATGAGCCAAAAGCATTCTTGCTTGGATGGGCCCAACCTCAAATTTCTCTGCGATTGAGCCCATATGTTTAAATTATTTGATATTACTGATGAAAAATTCAGGAACCAAAAGCATAAAATAGTCAAACAGTAACAGACAGACAGGACACAGAAGCTGTTTACACCACACAGGCTGAAATCCTGTTGCTTTGTTATGCTAGCAGAAGGCAAATGGTGTGACATACACTCACTTCCATCAGACAGTTAAAGAGTTCCCAATGGGATTCTTGAGTGCATGCCAAGCCAGCAGGCACACAGAATTTCAGCAGTGACTATTTAATTGCCAGTGGAAGGGACATAATATTACTCTATTTACCTTCCACCTGCATAGCTAAGTGACAGTGTGTTCATTGTGTTTTATGATACTATCTTTACAAACAGTGAAATGTGAGTTAAAACTTAGTCCAGTACACAGAACTTCATAGAGTTTGACAGTGGGCTTCCCACAATGCTCTTGCTGATGGTTCATATCTGAAGGTGCTTACTTTTAGTGGATGTACATGACTTCTGAAATATAGGTGGTTTGGCACCACTGTTTTAGCCAGGCTCTGAATATAACCTTTTGCCTATTTGAAGACTAATTGTTAATTTCTTGGATATGCTGCTTGAAATTTAGACCCATGTTTAAAGTTGGCAACATTGGTTGTTTCATGCTTCAGTTTTAGAAACTTAGGGTTACATGATTAACCCCCCTGTCTGTTGCTGTTCCATTACTTTTTTTAAAACTAAACATGTATTTTCTCTCATTTCAGCTCAGTATTGAGCAGGCCCAAGCTGTAGCAGAGCAAGTTGAAATGAAGGCAAAGATGGTACAATCTGAAGTGAAGGCAGTGACATCTAGACACAAGAAGGCACTGGAAGAAAGGGAGTGTGAGCTGCTATGGAAGGTAAAAAAAAAGGAGGGGAGTTTGGGGAATTGGGACAGAAAAATGAAAAGAAAAAGACACAATGGAAGGTTTAAACCAGGGCCATGGGACAAAAGTAGAAACTGTTTAAGTTCCAAAAACTGCCCCCTTGTGATGTTGTCATCAGCCTTCCATAGGTGCATAGTTCATAGCACAGGATTTCAGCCAGTACATTGTGTATTTTTTTAATATCACTTCCATGACATGAAACTTCTACAGTTACATACCCTGCCCCAGATAAAGTATCAAGCATCCTAGATTTAAAAATAATCTCTAGAAATCCACCTGTTTCTTTATCCCCTCTCATGTCTTTGGACACAGGCTTTCGTATGCACTGAAGAAGAACTATTTAAGGTGGATGAATTGAGATTTGTAGATTTTTTATAAAAAAATTTAACAGAAAAATGGAGCACATAAACCTCAAGACAAATATTAACACCTGCATCCCCATGCAATAACACATATCTTTCTGCAGGGCCAGATCATCAGTATCTTTTCTGCTTGTAACAATTCCATGGCCATACATATACGTTCATGCCAGCTTATATGTACATGTGCTCGGCTCTGTGATGAATGAAGTCAAGCATTTAAATGTGTGCACTTATTTTCATTTTAGGTGGAGAAAATCCGTCAAGTGAAAGCCAAGTCACTGTACCTACAGGTTGAAAAATTACGTCAGAACCTCAACAAGCTTGACAACACCATCAGTGCAGTCCAGCAGGTGCTGGAGGAGGGCCGGAACATGGACATTCTCTTGGCTCGAGATCGGATGCTCGCTCAGGTGCAGGAACTGAAGAATGTTCGGGGCTTCTTGCAGCCTCAAGAGGATGACAGGGTCATGTTCACTCCTCCTGACCAGGCATTGCATATGGCCATCAAGTCCATGGGGTTTGTCAGTAGCGGGGCCTTCGCTCCTCTGACCAAAGCCACTGGGGAAGGTCTCAAACGTGCACTGCAAGGCAAAGTGGCCTCTTTCACAGTCATTGGCTATGATCACGATGGGGAGCTGCGCCTTTCTGGGGGGGACATGATCTCTGCTGTGGTCATGGGGCCAGATGGAAACCTTTTTGGAGCAGATATTAGTGACCAGCAGAATGGAACCTACCTCGTCAGTTACAGGCCACAGATGGAAGGGGAGCACCTGATATCAGTCATGATGTGCAACCAGCATATAGAAAACAGTCCATTCAAAGTCACAGTCAAGTCAGGGCGTAGCTATGTGGGCATTGGACTCCCAGGGCTCTGCTTTGCCAGTGAAGGGGATAGTGATGGGAAGCTGTGCCGTCCCTGGGGGGTTAGTGTAGATAAGGAAGGCTATATCATTGTGGCCGATCGTAGCAACAACCGAATCCAGGTGTTTAAGCCTTGTGGTGTTTTCCACCACAAGTTTGGCACCTTGGGTTCCAGACCTGGCCAGTTTGATAGGCCTGCTGGCGTTGCCTGTGATTCCTCACGGAGGATTATTGTGGCAGACAAGGACAATCATCGCATCCAGATCTTTACATTTGATGGCCAGTTCATTCTGAAGTTTGGGGAGAAAGGCACAAAGAATGGGCAGTTCAATTACCCATGGGATGTAGCAGTAAACTCTGAAGGAAAAATCCTGGTGTCCGACACAAGGAATCATCGGGTTCAGCTGTTTGGGCCTGACGGAGTGTTTCTGAATAAGTATGGTTTTGAAGGAGCACTCTGGAAGCACTTTGACTCCCCAAGAGGTGTGACATTCAATCACGAGGGCCATCTAGTCGTGACAGATTTCAACAATCATCGTCTCCTGGTTATCCATCCTGACTGTCAGTCAGCCCGCTTTCTTGGTTCTGAAGGCACAAGCAATGGGCAATTTCTGCGCCCACAAGGTGTGGCTGTGGACCAGGAGGGTCGTATCATTGTGGCAGATTCCAGGAACCATCGTGTGCAGATCTTTGAGCCGAATGGTAGTTTTTTATGCAAATTTGGAACTCAGGGAAGTGGCTTTGGTCAGATGGACCGTCCTTCAGGTATTACAGTCACCCCAGATGGCATGATTGTTGTGGTTGACTTTGGAAACAATCGGATCCTTGTCTTCTAATCTGTGTTTATCTGTAATAGGAACAAACTGTCTCAGGGAAAATCATTTTAAGAGAACACACACACACATACACACAGAGAGAGACATATGTATTACAATGTTAGTTCAAACCTACCTCATCTTTAATTTTTTTTAAATAGACGAATGTACTTTCTATTTTTATCTGCAGGGAGTGAACCTGTAGTGTTATTAAGAACTCTTTATCTACCTCATTATCTTTGTGTTCTTACCTCCACAGTATACACAGAGCAGTTTAAAGTTAAACCTCATTTCCCTGGATGGGACATTCATGCTAAAACATGTTTGTGTGCATGTTCTGCTGGTTTATATGGTATATTCTGTAGATTCTGCAAAAAAAAAAAGGCACACTCTCATCTTTAAAAAGAAGAAAAAAAAGTAGGTTTAGATATTTTAAAGGTCTTTTGTTCCGATCATATTGTGGATTTCTTTGTTGTTGTTGTTTGGAGGGGGTAAGAAAGGGGCTTGTGTTTTTTAGATGCTGCTGCAGCAGAGAACTCTTTCCTTGTTCTCCTTTTTTTTAAATACCTCAGTGCATTTGACATACTGTTCAACATAGTGTCTTGTTTCCAGAAGACTTTGGTCTTTTGAAGTGGAATGGGATTCACTGGGGGAGGGGGGAAGAAGCTAGGGGTTCTTCCTATTTTTTTTTGTTGTTGTTTTTTGAGAGCATATTGTGGGGACAGGTTTATACAGTGACTCCACAACACAGAGAGAACTACTTCAGAATGCACAAAATATTTCCGGTTTGTGTTATTTACCGGCTTTGGATTCTGGTCCAGTGATTCACATAGTAATGGAATTCAGCCAGGAGGGACTAGGAGAGCCTGCCCGCATTTGAAGGCAGCCCTCTTCACTGTTGCTAGACAAAGCTGTTTTCCAAACTTGGAAGTTACCTCAGATGGCAGCATGGGGAGCTGGTGCGTAAGTGAATGTGTGAGGAAGGCTTAATGAAACACTGCACAAATATAAGCTGTTCCTGATGGAAAAAGGAGACCTTTGGATTGCATATTTGGAGTTAAAGGTGAAAGAGAACTTCCTGTCTGAGCTTGAATTTCCCTTACAGGCTTTGTTTCTGTTCTTTTCTTTAAACAAAACACTTTCTTTACATGGTGCATGTATGTGGTTAAATGTCGTTGCTGGTGTTACAATTCATAATGAAATGCGGAGGATCAAATGCTTCTTCCATTTCATATGTTTTTAATGTTTGTGTAAAAAAAAATCCCAAAATATAGCTCTCCCAAGAGAAGTGCATAATTTTTCTGCTGTAAATAACAGGAAGCAGAAATTTTGGAAATTCAGGGTGTGTTTCAGAAATCCTAGATGAAAGAAAACAGATTACCATAACTAATCTCTGGAGCTGACTGTTTTCCTCCCTCTTTCAGACTCTCTCTTTCACACACACACCACACCCTTTGGAAGGAACATCTATATGGGATACTCATCGTACTAGTACACCCATGTAGTCTCCTCTGTTGACGCAGAGACTGTGGAAAGATAGCCACCCTAAACCCTACCTCATTTGCTCCAGCGCCAAAGAATGCCATGTGAAATGGGGGTGCAGTTATCTAAAACCAAAACTAGCAAGTTCCTTGAATTCAGTCATCCACATAATTTCTCCCTGAGAAAGTTCTGGATTCTTGTACTTCTCCAAGAAGTTCCATATTTCATTTAAAAAAAATAAATCCTAGGAATGTGATTCCTTCCATTTTGAGTCATTAATCTCTCTAGTTTGCATCCTGCCATTTGATATCCCTTTCCTCTATTGATGTAAGAAGGGTCTCGTTTATCACAAATAGGGATTTGCTTTAAGAACATGTGGTAGATAAATTTTAGCTGTGGTGCTTGGGTCCTCCGTTGATTCCAAATATGTATTTGTGCTGAGTTTTTATTATCTTTTTTGGGATCCTAGCTGGAGATCTAAATAAGGGGATCTAAAAACATGGCTTGGATATTTTCAGGATGCTTTGTCCTGTTTCTAACCAGAATAAGCTGTGATTAAATGCTTTCCAGTTAAAGTAACAGAAATGGCCTCCAATTAATGTTGAGGAATGCTTCTTTCCTACTTGTCTGCCAGTTTTTGGCCAGAGATGTTTGAGTTATCTCTGTAATAATAAAAATAAACTGCACTTTCCATGCTTGTCTAGAAAGTAAGCTGTGTTCCATCCTTTTAACTGGACTGTAACACAGACAAAACCAAGAACTTGCAGCCTGTGCCCTGGCATGTAGGATAGTCCAGAAAGGATGTGGAATTGCTGAGATTCTGAACTATTTTGGCATTTCCAAAGTATTTTAGTTAAAACCATTGTGTTTTTATAAATTACTTGCACCATCGACCATGAATAGCATCTTTGAATAGCACTATTATAATAGGTTTTAAGGCAGGATGGCATAAATTGACCAACACTGCTATCTAGCCACACTGCTGCTCTTGGTATCATCAACATGTTGCAGTTTTAGAGGAAGTTTAAAACCATGTGGTTCATCAGTTGCAAGAAGCTTCTCTAGTAAAGGAAATATGGGATGTGGAACTAATAGCCACACTCAAACATTCAAGTGTGTGTTGGGAGAATGGTTTTTTCCTTGTAGATCATCTGATGTCATTTCTCTTAATTCTGATGAGAGTGGTTGGTTTCAGCAGGCTACTTGCTGTGTGCGTGTTGCGCAATCATGCTTGTTGTTGCAGTGCGAGCAGGGCTAGGATTTGTGCATCTCACAATGCCCACTTACTGCTGGAGACAAGAGTGTGTATTCCATCTTGCTCCTCTGATAGAATGTATGAAGACATTTCAGTTAGAGCATTTTATGTGGGACTCAATTTGAGAAATAAAGCTGGTGTTTCCAATAGAGCTACCAAAGATAATTGGTTGAAAAGCTTTAATTATTAAGAGTTTGCGGAATCCCTTGTGTATATTTGTGAGTAAGGCAAGGATTTCCCCCCCTTTTTTTCTGTTGATATTATCCCTGTTTTCTGATGTGCTTTTCATAAAATAAGCTAGTATGTGATTGTCATATACAGAATTCTCTTGTGCTGTTCTGTCTCTTCTTGCAATGAAAGGCTACTGGGATTCTGTTTTGAGCTTCATGACTTTTGTATGTATTTGCTGCACAAGCTTGGAGAAGCCAGAAATCTCTTAATTGTGGAGGAGGAGTGTATAGCTTTGGTGTTTTTTCTTCTTGTTCTGTGTATGTTATTAACTTCTGCTGGTAGAATCTATGTATCTGCTGGTTTGGCACAAAGTAACAACACCAACACACAGTTATCTCCATTAGAGTTTCTAGATTGCATATAAAATAATTCTTTATTCTTGAATGCTGCTGTCTGGCTATACATAGTGACTGACTCCCTGTACAGTTACTGTAGTAGGTAGTGCAAAGCACATGTTATCCCACTTAAAGTATTAGTGTAGCTTCTGACATAAAAGTGTTTATAATGCTATGAAGCTAAGTAGTGTAATAATACAGGAAACATTTAATGCCAACATAAAATGCCCCTTAGGGGCTTGGTTTTTATTGGGTATATAACTGACAGGATTTAAAGTCCATCTGTTTGCATGCTTATTGGGCAATCCGGATACACAGAGATACAGTACACATAAACCAGGACTTCCTAAAAGTGTCTCAGTGCAGGATTTGAAATGAGTAAAAAATGTATGCTTCCTTACTGATCAGTGTAGTCTTTTAAGAAACCATATCTGGACTATGAAAAACTTAGGATAATTGAAACTTTCTACTTTGGGGAAGGTTGTGGTGTACTAAAATGTGTAAATCTATGATGTGAACTGTTAAAAAATATTTATGGACTCAAAGTATTGTCCATTCAAATGCTCTCCACCTTCTTGAATCACTTTTGTGAAGCAAAGTGCTTGCTACTTTTTAAAAAAATTATCAATTTTGCTGAATGTCCGGTGAGAAGTCTTGATGCTAAGCAGCAGTATTCCAAGTTGTAAACTCTGCTCCCTCAGTGTAACTCATTTGGGGAGACCTTCAAGGGTATACCTTAGATGTAGGATGCAGTGGGGCCCTATAATGTCCTGTAAATAATACTCTGCCTAAATCTAATTAGATATGGAAACAAGGGAGACACTACCATATGCTATTCCACTGGAATTGGGCAAGATTGGTGCTGTCTGTTTTAGTTAGTTAAGCCAAAATTAATTTATTGAAAAGAGGCCTCTGCTTGGTTTTAGCCATAGCTCTGATTTCTTTTGAAGATCAAGAGATTTCTGTGTTTAGTCCTGGTTTAAATTAAGAAGTGCCAAAGCGTTTTATGTAGTGTTGTGTTTTATTTTAAAACATGAGTATATCCAAATGGTGCCAAAAAGTAATAGGGTAGTTAGAAAAAAATCTTTACACATGTGCATACAGTTTGGGGCTGTGTAAAAAATAAACACTGGTACGTGCGCTAGACAAACACTATTTCTGGTCCTTAAGTCCTCAGGAAACCAGCAAAAAATGTGCTGTGGTACAGAATCCCTAAAGTATGTGTGAACATTCCTACCTCACTTCAGAAGAAAGTACAGCATCTACCTCAAAATGTGATCAGAAAAAAGTGAGTTTTCAACATAAGAGTGACTGCATAAAACTAAGGTTGCACCTTGGCACTCATTTTAAATATTATATTCAGACTTAGAAGTTTACACATGGGTACTTTGCTGTAGAAATGTTTGGCTTCCTGTACTGAAGCTGTAATTAAGGGAAACTTTTAGAAACCTCAGGCCAATCACATCCCGCCCGTCCCCGCCCCCCTTCAGTATTGTAACACAGCCAGCTATCCTAGTGAATGGGTTATTTGCAGAGGTTTTCAGGACTAGCAGCCTCCTCTACAAGAGGAGTAATTGTATGGAAACTTGATACGCATGGTGTCAAAACTCTTCTTAGCAGCTGAAATTCCATGAAAGGACATAGTAATATTCCTCTGTGTTTAAAACAGACTGTTGCCTACAATGGCAGAGAAGGAGACTTTGGGATTACCAAGAATTGGCTCAGTGAAGCATTTAGAGGCAGCATCAAGTTTTTCGTACCAATTCTTTTGCCCACTCTGTCTCGTATGCAACAAAACTTAGAAGCACACTATAGATTGGCACACTGTGATTTGCTGCCTCTTCCTCAGCTTTGTTTATATGAAAGTTTGAAGAAATGGGTACAAGAATCCACTAGGAATGATGCTATGTTTAACTAGGTAAATGTTACAGTGGAATATGTACCTTTTGTGTCTATTTAAGTGATCTTACGGGTTAACAAGCCGAGATTGGATTGCATTGGGGTTTTTCCCCCATCTTTGTTTAACCAGTAATGGTTCTTCAGGAAGAATTTTTTTAAAAAAGCTTTGTGTTACCTGCATGGTCATAGACCTCTTCAATGATTGTATCAACTTACAAACTCAGGTTGCCTTTTTGTTCTTGTTTGAAGCTCCTTTGTCAGAGCTTTTGTGACTGAATGTTACATGTATGTAGTAGAATAGATGGTGTTCTTTAAGCCACCAAACCAGTAAATTCCTTTGTAGCATTATAGAATACCTCTCAATCTACGTAGCTTCTTTCCCAGGGAGAGATCTTGTTTTTAGCCCTTCCTCTTTATGAACATTTTAAAAATAGTTGATGTAATGTGTACTCAAGTCATCCAGACTGGTGGTGACTTTTCTTACTGTATGTGATATTTCTTGTATTGTGCCTCACCTGTTGTGCACCTGCTTAGATGTTGGTGAGCATCTAATGTAACTCTCTTTAAAAAATGTTTAGTGCAACTTGGCTGGGTGGTTTAAAAAAAAACAACCCACACATTTCCAGTATTTTTCTGTGCCTGAACACAAAGTAGTTGGTCTAAGACCAAAAGCAAATACCAACATGGAAACAATTCTGCAGACTAAACTTCTCCATTGATTTAGATCAGAACATGATCTTTGTAAAACAATTTTTTTTCAAATAAGTTTATTTTTTAAAAATTCTATTTGCTTGAAGTATTCAAGATTCTGCTGTATTGTAAAATGTACATCTTGGGCTGGTTATTGAATAGTTTCCTGCTCTCTTGTATACACTTATTAATTTTGGTGTACATTTATTGCAGAAAAGATACATAGCAAAAAGTTTTGCAAAACAAGCTGTCTTGGGTACACTGCTGCCAGCTTTAGCCAAAGCTGTTATTTTTTCTCTCCAGTTGGAGTCCCTTTTAACGTTTGGTCAGCTGGCATTCTGAAGTTGTAGACTGCAGATTAAAGCAGATCAGGTGAGGCACAAGTTTTGTTTAACTGGGCTAAAAATATTAAAACTTGTGTGTTTTTAATGGAGGCTTCTGAATGTATCTTTGTGGTCCATGGAGAAGGCTGAAGGATGTAGCAAGGAGACGATGTATCAGCTACTGGCAGCCTTAAAACAAAGTCATGGTCTCTCTGGACTTTAAAAAGTTTCTATGCAGTTTATTTTATTTTTGTTTAATCAAATAAATGTGAGTTTCACTTCCTCTGGGGTTTGTCTCTTCACTTCAGATGGCTTGTCCTAATTTTGTGGAACATAGTGAACGTTTTTTGAAAATTTTGAAAGTAATAGCTTCATAACAACCTTGTGTGGGCAGTGACTCAGCTGTGTTCCTCCAAGGAACTCAGTGGTATGTTAATCTCCTTACAGGCTTCTTGTGAAGTCATGCTGAGAAACAGTAATTTACCATATTTTTCCATCTATACTTTTGTCTAAAATCTTTAGATTAAAAATTGAGGGTTGTCTTATACATGGAAGTAAGCTGAGGAGAAAAAAACAAGGAGTGAAAAGCAGGGATCAAAGTGATCCTGCAGGGCTTTGATCCCTGCTTTCCCCTCCACTTACTAAGCCTTAGCAAAAGGAAAGCAGGGATCAAAGTGCTGCAGGATTGCTTTGATCCCTGCTTTCCCCTCTGCTTGCTAAGTCCCATGGGGCTTAGCAAAAGGAGGGAGGATCAAAGCAATCCCGTGGCTGTATAAGGGGCAAAGGGATCAAAATGATTGTGCACTCGTGGAATTGCTTTGATCCCTTCCCCCCCTTTTTTGCTAAACCACACGGGGCTTAGCACAAAGGGAGAAAGCAGGGATCAAAGCCATCCTGCAGCACTTTTATCCTTGTTACCCTACATTTGCTAAGCCCCACTTAAGATTTCTTAATTTGGGGTTAGAAAAGTGGGGGGCATCTTATACATGGAAAAATACGGTACCTGAAGCGGTTGGACTGGATTATTCTTGAGATTCTTTCAACCTCTACAGTTCCAAGATTCTATGAATGTTGTGAGACATAGTCCATCAATATCTAGAGGGCTGCACTTTGCCCAACTCCTGCTTTACAATGCTACTGTAAGGAATACTGGTCGCATAGAGAAAGCATTTGGTGGATTTTATCAACTAGCATAGTGATATCACTAAAAACAGTGATAAATATGTGTAAGTTTACAACAAAACAGAACCTGTGTATTTGTTAATGAAGCAGAAATCTTAAGACCCACCTCTGGACTATTCTTCATGAGCTATGTCCAATAGTTGGAATACTATTTTAAATAAAAATTATGAAGCCTTCAGGTTTTAAAGATGTTATGGAAAGAAAGGTAGCCTCTTGGAACTGGTATGTTGGAAGCAGCCCTTGCTCTAGAAGTGGAAAAGGGAGAAATTGCCTTTTCCTTTTTAACATATTATCCATTTTATGTCTAAACTTAGCACTGCTGGAGCTGGACAAATTTATTGCCCTTCTGAATATAAAAATTTGCCTCTTTACTATGAAGTTGCAGTTGCATAGCAATAAGGTTATTAAATGCTGTCTGAATTGTGGTTTTGCCTTTGTTGAAGACAATGTGTGTTCAGCAAAGAACAGCAATTTCACCTTTCAAACAGGTAGGCTAAAGCTTCAGAAGCACCTAAATTGTAACCAACTAATTCAGCACCTACTTTCTAATTAGAGCGAAGTTTAACATAAACGCTCAGTACACTGCCATTTTATTTAAGGTTACTAATGTTCCTTAACTGATTCTACTACTGTTCCTGAAACAAAACTGATAAGAATCAACTTTGTTGTGGCAGCCATATAACCTGAGGGCCAGACTATATCTCCTCTTTTTCTTAGCAGCTCTGAGAAGGCAAACAGGATCAGAGGAGTAGCAGGAAAGTCCCCCCTTGGGCGTTCCTCCAGATGCAGTTTTCCCCATCTTCCAGCTGCAATTAAGGGGCATGTCACCCAACCAGCTAACAACCTTGTGGAGGCATGGTTTCAATCAGGGGCACACAATGGGGGGAAAGGATTAACTGCTCCCTTCTCCTATCAAATTAACCACCATAGCTACTTCAAAAAGACCTCCCACATCCTACAGAATTAAGGTTACAGAGAAAGTACAAAAAGCCAGGGAGGTGGCCTGGAAGTTACTGTTTCCACATCTGACACTTCAGCCTGAACAAATGCAATACCTACAGGTTTGATCTGTATTTTTCTCAGGTGCTTCTATGTATTAGCTCTTCACTTTCACCAGCTTTTAGCAGAGACGTTGTCATATGGCTGTTTCCACTGTGAAGCAAAGTCATTCTATAGTTGTTTACTGATATGGAAACGTGCCCCTACCAAGGTAAAAGCAAATTGTGAAAAGATGGGGGAAAATAAACATAGAAATTTCATGTTTTAAGATGTTTATAAAAAATCTACAATGTACATGTTCACAAGGCTCAAATTCCTGTCCACAGAGCAACCATCTCTTAAATTTTAATATTCCACTACAGTTAGCCTTCAGTGTGGATACTTGGAATAGGTGCCATGGAAGTTTGAACAATTTATATTCTTTTCCTTACAATTCACAGGAAAAACTCTGTTGCTAGCATCAAAATTCATAATTTATACATCTTCATTGACTAGCATGACAAATTTTGCACAAAACATTAAAAAATACTAATTGTTTTGATGGTTTTAATGAAAAATTCATAGCAACACACTTTAATGCATCATGTATGCAGATAACAAAAAGTTTTATTAAAATTAGAAAAAAATCCAAAAAAAATCCAAGTGACTCCTAGGAGAGTCAATTTCATAGGAGATTTTCACTTCCTCTGAACAGTGGTGAATGCTGGCATTTGAACAGGTTGGACCAGGTGAGTAGATTGGAATACAGGTTTCTTTCGCATCTCAGAAAGCATTTTCACTGAAGGTACAAGTTGATTTCTTTTGATTATCTGCAGGGCCAGTTGAGTATTGCCTGAAAAACAATTTCACAGTTAGAAATATTAATGAGAACATCAGCTATGTCCATGGTAGTTTTTTACAGGACCTCCACTTGGAGGCCCACCTAAACTGAGAAGTGTAAATGACACATTAAAATATATGTTAGAAACAGTAACATTTCACCTATTGTAATGACAAACATGTTTCTTTACCACAAGACACAAAGTAGAAGCAGAAAAACAGGCTTTCGCCAGTTTCTAAAATATTATTAATGAAGATACAATACATGATTCCCTTAGACACACATTCCAAAACCTTGGCAAAACCTCTCCAAACCAAGTCCCCCAAAGGCCCTCTCACTAATCTCTGCTTTCAGAGTTAGAATATACAAAACTGCTTCCAAAGCTACCTCCCACTGAAAATAACAAGTTTTCTTATTATATACTATCATTCTGTATATGGAGATCAAGAATAAATGCTGGAACTAGCATTTCCACAGTCTTTTTCTTCCATAACAGAACACCTTCCAAACCACCTTTTAACAATGGCTGCATGAAGGCACAACACAAATTCTACATATTTTTCTTTTTTATCCCGTTCCAACCTCCTTCATATCTATGTTGCCAGCTTTAAAAGATTAGCACAGATGCAAAGACACAGGCATTAGGACCTAGTTAGACACGCTTATTTTATAAAGTTACATCAAAAACTGGTGATACACATTAAATGGGATTCAATTTCCCAACGTAAACAGTTACCATTTTGGAGTTCAAGATATACGGCCAGTAAAATAGCCTCTGGTGGAATCTCTTTTGGATGAATCTGTGAAGCAGCCTTATACCAAAAGGAAAAAAAAAGATAAATGCATACAGGAGCTAATGTAATGAGAAAAGCACTAGTTGGTAAGAAAACACAGAAAAATAAGCTACTGGTTTAACATCACTGGTAATCCGTCAAGGGATCTGAAATAAACTGCAGTAAACAAAGTGCAGCACTCTATTTTTGAACTGCAACTCTTACCAGTCCTAAAGAGCTCACCCAATGGTGAAGAACACTAGAAGTTGGAACAATACCTGGAGGATCATGCTTTTATCTATCCAAAAATGGATACAGAATACTGAGAAGATGTAAATTATGCATAATATAGTCTACTAGAGAAGTGGTTCTTAACCTTGGGTATCCAGGTGTTCTTAGACTGCAATTCCCAGAAGCCTTCACCACCAGCTATGCTGGTTGGGGCTTCTGGGACTACCTGGGTTACCCAAGGTTAAGAACCACTGCACTAGAGCATAATATATATGTATCTAGGAAACATTATGACATGAAGACCATTGTCTCCAAAAACACCAAGACAAAACTGCTAAATTCTGGAGGGAAGCACAGTCATTTGCTGTTATATATTTTAAGTGCAACAGCTCTGTAATGGATACTAGGATTCTGAATGAGAAGAGTTTTATGCCTTTTGAGAAATCAGAATTATTGGCCTTCCCAATCCTTTTGTGGGAGACATTCTTTTTCTGAATAAAACCTGCACATTTTATGTTGGGTAAAATGCTTTGGTGAAACTTAAGCGAAAGAAGCATAGGGACATTGAGCTAATCACTGTGGCATATCATATTTTGATATTGTCTCAGAGTGAGAGTACAGCAATGTTCTTTTGATTTTTGGCTTTTACCTGGTGCAGACACTTCCGAGCTTTGTCATATTCGCTTCTCAAGCAGTAGGCACTTCCAAGATTGAACAGCATCATTGTTCGCGCAGAAGTCACAGAACTGGGATAACATTGCGGGGTTTGTTTGCCAGCTGGAAAAACATACGGGATTTTTATATAAAGATTACTTGTTATAATCAACAAATAATTACGTAGCCAGCATTAGTCTGATTCCCCACTATGCCTTTCTGACAGAGGTGTACTCAATGATCCATAGGGTTTTTTCCAGCTCTGCAGTTCTAAGATTATGATAATGACTACTATTATTATAGCAATTCTTGGCAGCCAAGTTTACATTTCTTAAGGAAAACACACACTACTAACAAGACCTGCTTCATATGCAAACTGGTATTCATTGTACTTGAAGACACTGTGTCGAAAGAAAACATATTTACACATAGGGAAGATTACATTGGATAGTTTCCTGCTGTGTACTGGAAATATGTAGTTCTTCACATTTCATGCATTTACTGTTGCAAACCTGTGTATTCAGATAAACTGAAGGGATGGAGCCACTCCTTTCAGTAAAGAGCTTGGGTCATTTATATCAGCCAGCTGGAAATCTGGTCTGAAGACACCTTCTCATCACTTCATACTGCAAGTAAAACTATTCACTTTTTAAAAAAAATTTAATGGTGTTCAAATTAATAAAAGAACTCTCTTTTACTATATTTAACAAGTAAAAAGGAATTTACTAAAAACTAAGAGATGCCTTACAGTTGTTAAACAACACTTTTGTTGTTGTTTAGTCATTAAGTCGTGTCCGACTCTTCGTGATCCCATGGACCAGAGCACACCAGGCGCTCCTGTCTTCCACTGCCTCCCGGAATTTGGTCAAATTCATGTTAGTAGCTTCGATGACATTGTCCAACCATCTTGTCCTCTGTCGTCCCCTTCTCCTCTTGCCTTCACACTTTCCCAACATCAGGGTCTTTTCCAGGGAGTCTTCTCATGAGATGGCCTGGAAAAACCATAGCTCTGACCATGCGGACCTTTGTCGGCAAGGTGATATCTCTGCTTTTTAAGATGCTGTCTAGGTTTGTCATCGCTTTCCTCCGAAGAAGCAGGCGTCATTTAATTTTGTGGCTGCTGTCACCATCTGCAGTGATCATCGAGCCCAAGAAAGTAAAATCTGTCACTGCCTCCATATCTTCTCCTTCTATTTGCGAGGTGATGGACCAGTGGCCATGATCTTAATTTTTTTTATGTTGAGCTTAAGACCATTTTCTGTGCTCTCCTCTTTCACCCTCATTAAGAGTTTTTTAAAAATTCCTCCTCACTTTCTGCTATCAGAGTGGTATAATCTGCATATCTGAGGTTGTTGTTATACAACACATACACACACCAAAAATTCTGGAAAATTAATTTCTATGATGACAGAGCTGTTTTCATAAAGTGCTGAATTAATTACATTGATAGCTGCAAAATGAACATACAGTGGTGCCTCAACTTACAAACTTAAATTGATTCCGGAACTCCAGCCGTAACTCGAAATGGTCGTAAGCCGAAGCACCATTTCCCATAGGAATGCACTGAAATGCAATTAATCTGTTCCAGCCGAAGAAAAAAAATAACCAAAAAACCCAACACTGCAAGACCCATTGGAAACGCGATTAATCCGTTCCAGATGAGGCGAGGAAAAAGCAAAGCAAACAAACCGTGCAAGACCCTTCAGAAATGCACAAAAAAAAAAAGCAAAGCAGAAAGCAAACAAACTGTGCAAGACCCTTCGGAAATGCAAAAAAAGCAAAGCAGAAAGTAAGCAAACCGTGCACAACCCATCAGAAATGCAAAAAAAAGCAAAGCGGAAAGCAAGCAAACCATGCAAGTCCCACTGGGAATGCAAAAAATGCAAAGCAGAAAGTAAACAAACCCTGCAAGACCCATCGGAAATGGGGGGGACCCAAAAAGCAAACTGCGCAAGACCCATTGGAAATGGGAGAAAAACCCAAAAAACAAAGACTGCAAGACCCATCACAGTACAAAAACATAACCCCCCCCAGCCCAAAACCATACTGCAAAACCCATACAGAACAGTTTTTAAAAAGGCGAATACAGCACCTTACCTTACCAGGCAGTCCAAAGCATTCTCCGATCGCACACACTCTAACTGCTGGGGTGAAAGAGCTACAAAGAAGCAGCCTCTTCGCCACCAAGGGTTAGTAATTTGAATTCCCCGCCTTTTTTCCCTGCCTTTTTCTGCTTGTAACTCGAAGCTCCGGCCACAAGTCGAAGCAAAATTTTGCAGCCGGAGCTGGTTGTAACTTGAAATGGTCGTATGCCGCGACGTTCGTAAGTAGAGGCACCACTGTATGTTTCACATCCATAGCCCATTGTAAATAGTGAAATACAGATATGGCATTCCATTTCAGTTATTTCCTTCTACAGTTTTATAGAATAAGCAGGGAGATGCTGGTTTGACAAGAGGTGGATACTTACAAGGTTCCATGGCTTCATTTTCTCCTTTGTCAGAACCTGGAACGGGAAAGTAAGAATGCATCCTGAGCAAGCTGAATTTTAACATAAGCATAATTCTAACCATCAGCAATCAACATTAATCTAAAAACAACAATAATGCTAAAGACTCCTAGGCATTTAAAATACACCTAGAACTTTTAACAACTGCTTAAGGCATTGGGCAGAATCCTATTGAGTAGTTATAGTGGTATAAGTACAATGACATAAACTGTAGAAGCCAGCTGTGGCAAGTTAATAAGGTGCTGCTTGTATCCTTTGTTGCACGTACCCCACACAACAAGCGCATGATGAGGCATACGAATGGTGACTCATTAACTAGCTGCACTTTGTTGCTGCAGTTTACCTCACTACATTGATGCCAGTGTAAATAACAGGATTCTAATAATTCATAGTCCATATTCTATGTGTGTTTGAGCATATAACATTGAATAGACACCCAACACATTAGCATCATTCAGTGCAAATACGATTGGTTGACTCAACTGTTACCGAAAGCTGCAATTGAAATTGATGTATTGGAATTAATTTTCTCTTCTACCTGTATGCACATGCATTTTATTTTTCCTGCATACCATATTAAAACATTTTAAAGAGGAACAATGTTTAATTCTGTGAAACCAGTAAATATTTGATACCAGTAGAGATGATGCTGCATAGCTGGGGATTCCAGTGTCATAAGAGAAACAACAGACATGTATAAAAGTAAGATAAAGGAAAAGGGGGAGAGGGCAGTTGACATGAAATCCATACATTTAGGAAAATGCAAGCAGGAGTTGTGCCTTTCATAACAATGCACTAAGAAGACAGAGCTGTTACAAGTTACAGCAGGAAGGCAGTTGAAAGCATGACGGTTTTAATCAAGTATGGATTCATTAACCTTGATCCTGCTCGTTTGAAGAAATCCCCAGAGACACATCAGTGACATTCTCAGGGTTCAAATGAGTAATGGCATCAGAGATTCTGTCTAGAGAGATGAGAGCCTCTGCGGCATACAAATGGCCAAGGAACCTAAAAACAGCAAGAGCAGTTAGTTAGAAAGCTCAGTCTGGCAGAATGCATCAAGAAGTTGCAAGAAAGCAGAACATGGATGTATTTATAGGAAGAAACACCTCACTGCCATTAACCCTCACATAAAAAATTCTGAAGAAGGTGGTAGATGTTTGCATAAAACAACAACTACTTGGACTACATGAAAGTAGAGGTTAATTCCAAACCCACCGCACCCCCGTGTCCATTCATGCTTATTTGCCTGAAGGAAAGTGAAGTGACAGAAAAGAGTTTATTTCATTAGGTAACATTCTTCACACCCTGGCACAAGTATAAATTATTTCACAGTTTTGCCTGTAACAAAACTATATATTTATTGGGGAGAGGAAAACAGAGGAGGAGGAGATAAAAAAATTCCCACTTCACAATTAGTTTTGATACCAGAGGTCCTGATGTGCCTAATGTTACATCCTATTAAATAATGTTGAGAGCAAGACTGGGTCAAACATACTTAAGGGATCCTGACAGTCTGGGCTGCTGAAGAAGTTTATCAGCATGATTCAAAGCCATAAGATTGTCCCCCAGTGCCAGAGCCACATAAGCACTGCAAGCAAGAATGGAGCACCTGGAAGAGAAAAGGGCACCTTAATAAACTGATACAGAAAATTTAAAAGTATATTGTGCAATACTTGAAAAAGAAAAAAAGATACATATTATGCTGTTTATCTATCATTAGATTTAATACAAATATGTATTCACTATAGCTTGAAGAAAAGATGCTGCACATAGTTTTGTGATGCCCAGCCTTATGAAGATCTGTATGGATCAAAATCTAGCATGCTTTTGTTTGTAATTTTTTAGCAGTCTAATAAAGGTACCACCCACTCTTGGCCTTTGGTTCATTTATTCAGAGTGCCCATGAAACAAATATTAACAAAGGAAATGAACAGCATAAATTAAAAAGCTTTGAAAAGGACTAGTGAATTCAAAAAATGAAAAGAAATTGCATCAGCCTACTTTTATTTGGCTAGTACAAATAGCACCTCAGAAGAAAAATGCTTCTTTGACATTTCTATCATGCAGTTTTCTCAATAAAGCCAAGTTGGCCCTAGAATTCTTGCTCTGAAATTTGAGCCATACATTCCACAGCTTCAAGCAAAAGGCCCCCACCAGGATGTCAGTATTAGGTCAGGCTTTTACAGCTTGTAATTCTTCCCCTCTCCCCTCTTAACACAGCACTTTGGGATATTTTCCACTTCACAAGGCAGAGTTCAAGGCAGGCTGTCTTGGCTTCAGGGCATATGCCTTTGCCTGCCTTATTGCAAGAACAGATTCAATTCATTTGTGTGGGAGGAGGAACAGAGAAAAAGGGGGATCTTCTTGGACAGAGCTGGTGTTGGGGGAGTGGCAGGAGTACAACATTAAACTCTCTAGCCAGTAGGTGGGCTATTATTGCTCCAGTCTTCTGGCAACTGTCAAGCCCACTTTTGGTTCAGCAACAAGCCACGTTAATTCATGGCAGGGCCTGGAGTTCCTTTATTCCTGTGTCCCAGTAGGCCTACACTTTAATTATACATAAGCAAGATTCTGGAAAAAAAAAACCCACCTCTCTACTGCTCCCTCCCCATTTCCTCTGCACGATGCCCAGATGTCACACTGTATCCCGACACACAGAAGCTGGCCAAGGAAAGCAGCTGTCCATCTGCGGAGCTTCTTTAAATTACAGCTGCAGTCGCCAAGATGAATAGGCTACTTACCGCATATCAATGAGTTAGGTTGCTACTATCTTGTTTCTATAGTAGAGGTGTGGCATTTAAGAAATTGGCTGCAGAGACCATATATATATTTGATGCCACTTTGGGGAGGCAAAGGGAACTTGCTAAGTTTTACAACAATAGACAATCATGGGATCGATTCACACTACTGATAGGCAGGTTGACATCCTACTATAATTAAAAATCCTCTACAGAAGCAGACAGCACAGAATGCTCCGAACCTTTCTCTCCATAGTCCAAAAACCAAAAGTAGAAACTGGATGTACATAAGCAAACTGCAAAATAGGTGCCAGAAACCAAGGGACAAAGAATGACAAGAATAGAAATATCACAATTTCTTTCTTGAGCTTTTCCTGAGCAGCACTTATCCAAAATATGCTGTTCTGGCACACACTCCCTCCATGATGACTTTGTGTTAGACTCAACAGAGCAAACCAACTGTTCTGTTTGTTTATTAGTAAGTTCAGCAATACTTATTTTGCCTCAGAAACACACACACAGGTACAGTAAGCAGATGATGTTAGGTAACTTAATATTAAATTCAATATTGTATGTTAAAAGCATCAGAACTACCAAGCTCAGCACAAAAGGTTTGGTGGCTTGATCAAAGTGACTGCATCCCAAAACAAACAAACAAACCTGGCCCATTCCATACCCCTGCTCTTTAGGTATGTTGCCATCTTCCCATAGGCTATCTCAAAAGAGAGTTGGAACAAGCAAACTGCCACATCATATTAACTTGCCAGCTGAAAGACTGGTCAAGAAGATTTATCAGCCCACAAGGAGAGCTGGTCTTGATGATCTATAGGGTCCTTTCCAGCTCTGCAATTCTAAGACTACTCACCCTGAACTAGACACTCAAGCTTAAATCACATGCAAGTCTATTCAGGAAAGACACAAATTACTACTGAGAAGCAACAAAGTTGCATTATAATAAATTAAATGCAAGAAGCACCTAAGCCAAATGAATGATACTTTCCATCTGGCAAACTTGTTTTTTGTAAACCTAAACCAATACAGTGGACCCTCGACTTACGAACAGTCCTAGTTACGAACATTTCGGGTTACGAACCCGATCTCATCGCAAGTACTAAACCCTACTTGCGAACACAGATCGGGTTATGAATCAAAAGGCAGGGAGAAAGGGCGGGAAATTCGAATTTCCTGCCCTTCCTCCCTGCCTTTGGAGCTTTCAAAAGGCTTCCTCTGACATTGGAGGAAGCCTTCTGAAACCTCCGAAGCCAAAAAGGCAGGGCGAAAGCGCGGGAAGTTCGAACTTCTCCCGCTTTCTCCCTGCCTTTTTGGCTTCGGAAGCAAACTGGCTGGCCAGGGAGAAATCGTCTCCCTCCTTCCACCTGACGGTGAGTTCTCTTCGCACTGGGCTGAGCTCAGCCCGGCATGAAGGGGACTCACCATCGGGTGAAAGGAGGGAGCTGGTTTCTCCCTGGCCGGCAGGCTTGCTTCTGAAGCCAAAAAGGCAGGGAGAAAGCAGGAGAAGTTCGAACTTCCTGCACTTGTGGACAAGGAGTTTTCCTTATTGCAGGAAAGGCAGGATAGCAATGTAGCTAATAAGAAGTAAGGATTGATTTGAAAAGGGCCGGCCCGGCTGCGCGGAGGCAGTGGAACGCCAGGAGGCTAGAGCTGGCCAGGTGCCTGGCTGCTCGCCCCCAGCCGCAGCGGAGCGCCAGGAGGCTAGAGCAGGCCGGGCGCCTGGCCGCTCGCCCCCGGCCGCGCGGAGCCAGCAGAGGGCCAGGAGGCTTCGGACTGGTAAGTCCTTTTTTAAAAAAAAACTTTTCTGTGTGGGTGTTGGGGTTCAGGCAATGAGCAGGCTGATGGGCTTTGTGATGATCACCAAATAATGGATAGCAAAGAGTCCCTTAGCAATAGATTGAAGAAGTCAGCCACACACACAGATGGATGTCTACCAGCAGTACTCCTGGTGGGCAACTCAGCAAGGAAGCAGAATGAGAAGTCTTCTCCGTCTGTGACATTCTGCCGTTCTTCTCTACCACCAGGAGACTGTCCTTTTATTAACATTACAAGGTCACAGGTAGTGACAGCATTACAGATAGTAGACAGGGTCCAGATAGGACAATGGTTACATTAGGGTTGGTCTGAGGAAAGGCAATTAATCCAGCCCTCTGATTGGCCTAAGGAAAGGCCTCTACAGCAAGCTCTCTATGATAATGAGAAGGAGGGAGAATGGTGGCAACGCCTCCCCTCAGAAGCAGCCACAGGATGCTAGGAGAGTTTTCCCTCACTAGAACACCCATGTGGCTTAGCAACCTTGGGAATGGTACACCCACATGTGGGTTTTGGAGGGTGGGGTTGGACTGGGGGGTTATGTTTCTCTCTCTCTCTCTCTCTCTCTGTGTGTGTGTGTGTGTGTGTGTTTTGCAGTCCCAACGTGGTGCTCTTTTTATTTTTATTTTTTATTTTATTTTTTTGAAATGCTGGAACGGATTAATTCCGTTCCCATGCATTTCAATGGGAAATGGTAGGTCGACTTACAAACTTTCCGAGGTATGAACGTCCTCCCAGAATGGATTAAGTTCGTAAGTCGAGGGCCCATTGTACTGCACATTACTAAGTTTAGTAGTGAATATGACCGAACTAAAAAGTACTGGGTTTGAATAAGACATTCAAACCAGTCTGTAATTATCCACAAGCACATATATTTCTTTCTGCTACAAAAAAACAAAACTGATGAAACTTTTATGTATATATAAAAAAGACTCTTATAGCATCTTGAAGGTTATATGCATGCATATATGCTTTTGTAGAAGGCATACCACTTTATCAGATGGAGTGGATCTTATTCACATTTTATTAAGAATATGTCATGCTATGCAATGGGGTTTTTTAGAATGTGCTGGCAAGCCCATTTTTTTTTCTTTAAATCCCATATATAGTCAGAAAATGAATGGTTGAACTGCATTCCATGTCTGAATGCAGCCCCATGCTCCACTAGACAAGTCACTCCAGAACTTTGGAAGGAGTCTCAACACGGTACATAAAACAGAGTGGATAAAATTCACTTGTATGTTAATCTATCTTCCCAAGTATTCAGTCTAGCAGTGGTCTCCAATCTTTTCTGAGTTGCGGACCGGTTGGGGAGGTGGAGTCCGTGCACAGAGGGGCACCTCCCACGCTTGTGGGTGGGGCCTGCTCGTGCACAAAGGAAGGGATGGGGTGCACTTGCGCGCATGCGGAAAGGGGTGGCGTGCACTCATGCATATGTGCAAAGAGGTGGGGCTTGCTTGCAGAGGTGTGGGGTGCGCTTGCAGGTGGGAGGAGCATCCGTGCGTGCAGGTGGCAAGCCATGTGTGTGGGGGGAGTGCATGCAGGGGGTGGGAGATCTGTCTCCACAGCCTGGTCCTGCCATGGCCACAGACCAGCACCAGGCTGTAGACTGGGGGTTGGGGACTCCTGGTCTAGAAGATGTCATCAGAAAATTTGCTTGCAGAGGTGTGGGGTGCGCTTGCAGGTGGGAGGAGCATCCGTGCGTGCAGGTGGCAAGCCATGTGTGTGGGGGGAGTGCATGCAGGGGGTGGGAGATCTGTCTCCACAGCCTGGTCCTGCCATGGCCACAGACCAGCACCAGGCTGTAGACTGGGGGTTGGGGACCCCTGGTCTAGAAGATGTCATCAGAAAAATTTTCAGAGATCTAACTAGGTCTATATCTCCAAAAATGCATATTTATTACCAAGAACATACTGAACAGAGATAAGAAATAACAGACCCGATCAGTGCTATTTTCTAACTCTGAATAAAATTATTCCTTGCACTCCTTTCCACCTCCAGATATGATAAGAAGGAAATTTTGGTAAGCTTTATTAGAATCTCCAGGGTTACTTTCAATAGTTTTCTTGAGATGCTGATTCTTTACAGGGCAGTAAATAAACTTAGTTGTAAGAGGGGTAGCTGTGTGAGTCTGTGCAGATATTATAAATAAAAGCAAACTAGAAATAAAAAGTTTAAAAAATACAAAAACATGATGGCACCTTAAAGACTTTTATATTTTTAAAATGTGAACTTTCCTGGATGGGTGATTTATAGAGTTTTAAAGGCAAAAACAAATTGACACATCAGTTTATCAGGAAAAAATCATATATTTTTGTGATTTGTCTGTCTGAACAAATCATGAATCAAAATGCTCATCTCTAATTTTTACCCTTTTGACAGTATTTTCACGTTTTAATCAAGCTTTTCTTTTAGAATAGATGCTTGGTGTGGAAGGTCTATTCTTGCAGAACTACATTGGTGAAACTGGTCCAGTAAGCCAAGCCTCTTGTTTCACGTCACCTGTGCAAACTGGTTTCTCTGAGCTTGTGCAAAGTACTGGGTTTTACACCGGAGTTACTAAATTGTGATTAAGTAAATGAACCATGTATCTAGGGGACTGGTAGCAGCAACATTGAGAAATAAGGAGGGGAGGCCATATTGCGCTGTGAAAGAGGTGGAGCCAGCCAGGGGCATCTCCTCCCTCTCTGAAAGTAAGGTTTAAGTCCCAGCACAGATAGAGCCACAGTAAGAAACAGACATCCACCTCCCTTTTGCATTACTAGAATCTATTGGTACAGAGTGTGTGAGGAAATTGAGTGTGACTTAATAAATAAAGTTTTTCTTATCCAACAGAAAAATGGTTCAGAAAGGAATCTATAGAACAGATTGGCTTCAGGTCTCCCTCAGTAGACTACCCCTTCTTTGTTAATTTACCTCAACTGACACTTAATTGTCTCAATACATTTAGTCAGAGACATTGGTAATGAGAAAGAATTACCATATTTTTTGCTCCATAAGATGCACTTTTTCTCCCCCAAAATGTGTGTGTGTGGGAGTCTATGTGTCTTATGGAGCGAAGGCAGCAATTTCGTCCCTGCTGGCCCCGTGGGAGGGAGCGTCGCAAGGGTCCGGGTGAGCCTTCCAGGACCCTTGTGATGCTCCCCCCACCCCCACAGGGGGCAGCGCCAGTGAAATCGCCAGCTTCCAGGTGGGGGGAGCGTCGCAAAGGTCCGGGGGCGAAATCGCCAGCTTCTGGGAGTCTTTTGAAGCTAGGGAAGCCTCAAAAGACTCCCAGAAACTGGCGATTTTGCCAGTGCTGGATTTGTGCAGGGGTGGGAGGAGCGTCGCAAGGGTCCGAGTGAGCCTTCCAGGACCTCTGCGATGCTCCCCCCACCCCTGCACAGATCCAGCACTGGCAAAATCGCCAGTTTCTGGGAGTCTTTTGAGGCTTCCCTAGCTTCAAAAGACTCCCAGAAGCTGGCGATTTCGCCCCCGGACCTTTGCGACGCTCCCCCCACCTGGAAGCTGGCGATTTCACTGGCGCTGCCCCCCGTGGGGGTGGGGGGAGCATCACAAGGGTCCTGGAAGGCTCACCCGGACCCTTGCGACACTCCCTCCCACAGGGCCAGCGGGGACGAAATTGTTGCCTTCGCTCCATTAGACGCAGGGACTTTCCCACCCACATTCTGGGGGGGGGGAGTGCGTCTTATGGAGCAAAAAATACGGTAACTGAACTTGTCCACAAAAGCTCACATTAAAAAAAACAGAAAGATTAATTTTTAAAGGTGCCACCATTAAGGTGTTTTGGTCTGTTTTTAAAAACTTTTTATTTCTATTTTGCTTCTATCAGAAATAAACATTATTTTAAAATATCTGAAAAAAATGTCAGTAGCCTTCATGATTTAACATGCACCTAAAGGCAACTGTACCAGTGACTGTCTTCTTTTCCTGAGGTGTCTGTCACACACCTAGCTGCATGATCAGTTGCACAAGCAGCTGTGAAACCAGTGAAGAACGGGGTGTACAACAGACATCTTGGAAAATAGAGACAACTGCTAGCACAATTGCCCTTCCACACAGTAAAAGAGAAAATTACTCCACATGTTTATCTAATTTTTTTAAAGAGTTGCTTTGTGAAATAGTAAAAATTTGCTGCTGAAGAAAGAAAACTCCACAAAACAGTATTGTTTCACTTAAATAAAATTATTTTCATGCCTGTATAGTGACTGGAAATTATTTTTATAGAGTCAGGTAAGAAAATCCTCTAAATATTCATAATTAACCTGTTGAAATGGAGATTGTTCACCTTTCAGCGCCTTCACAAATACTTGTTCCAATGAGCTTTGTTACCAAAGCAATCAGTTACTATGTAACTGCAAAATTAACATGAATGTTTTACAAAATAAATCATATATTATGGGTTTTCTAAAAAATATCTGTATCTGGGTCATGAAAATTATGCCTTAAAGTTACAGAAAGCAAGAGTATCCTTTCAGACGGGAGTCACATGATTAATCTTGAGTTCTTCCTGAGCAGCAATTTAAATCATAATTTTAATCAGTCTGATTCAAATTCTAAGCTGCATACAAGTAATTCCACTATACTAGGATTGGCAATTTCTTGTTCAGCAGGAAACCTATATATTTCATAGCTGCTGTATTTTTAGATGTAGGATATCTTAAAAGCAAAGACCTTTATTAGCAATAAGTAGATACCCACAACACATATATGATACTGCTTGCAATAGGTTAAAAGGTAATTTGGAGTTCTGATGCTAATTTGCAACATTTTTCATGGCTCATATATCCACCTGAAAAAAACTCTACATTTTTAAACATTTGATATAAACAGGACTTTCGCTACCATCATGTTTGCTCATTCTCTGACAAGTGATGCCACTCAACACATAAAAGGAAGAACTTTTAGGAGCTAAATCCCAGACAAATCAAACCCAAGGGCCTGAATCCCATTAACAGTCCCAACTGGCAGACCCACTGATTCGAAAGTCTACAGAATTGCTGTCTCTCCACTCAGCCATTGATTCAATGGGTCTACTCCAACTGAGGCTAGCAACTGGATTTAGGTCAAGGTAATTTGCAACAGGCTACCTGCCAACACTCCTGTGAAAGAGTGTGTCACAGGGGCTGATGGAGCTCTGTGAAAGGACAGAGGAAAATCTATGTGCCTCAGAACTGAGGTGTTCTGATTTCAAAGGTTTGGGAAGCACAGACACAATAACCACTATACATGGGCAAACTTTAACTGCTGATACCTATATAATCTATGAGGCTAACATTTGGTTTACAGCTACTAACAAAAGATACAAATCTTTTCTTCAAAAGCCCTGCTCTTTTCTTGGCATTGCACACAGCAAAGCAACAGCAGTAGCAAACAATTTAATTTGAAGTTTAATACAAAGGATATACAAACAAGTACCAAATACTTTTTTTCTGTGAAGCTACAACACATTTTTATTTTAGGTCACTTTGTGAAGCATATTGAAGGAACTAGACAGTAAAGACAGCCTCTAAGACAGCCATTCTCAACCAGGGCCACCTGGGAGAAAGGCCTTTTCTCAAAGGCATTGAGGCTTAGCTAAGTGAAGCTCTGTCCAAACTTCCTTCTCAGAAAGAAAGCTTCCAGCTAGTACGGGGGAAGGAACAGGAGGCTCAGGGGAGCTTGGCGTAGCTAAACCTCAAAGCCTTCTAATTTAGGTCTTTCTTCCAGGTGTAACACATTGAGGTGGTTGCAAGGTGTCTGGCAAGGTAGACAGAATTCCCAGAATGGTGAATTATGTATCTGTAGTACAGAAAATTCTATCCTTACTAAATAGCTTTGTGGAACATCCATATTAGCGCTTTTTGCGCAGATATAAAAAATAATGATATACTTGTATCATATGCCTTTAAAATAGGCTGCATTCTCATAGGAATAAAAATGTAAGCTAACTTTCTTGTGAAGAAAGACCCATGTATTGTGATAACTTATATACATTTGCTATGCCAGATATTAAATTCTGAAACAGCAAAACCTACCTTAAATTTTCTAATTCCTGTTTTCTTAATGGAGAAGATGGCGGAGCAGGGACAAATTTATCTCCCTCGAGACTTTTACCGCTGAAATTAAGACAAGAGGAGTAATAGTTTTATATAGATGAAGGGAAAAGTGCAACAATAAGATTAAGAAAATTCATAACAAACAGCAACATCAATTCAGTTGTTCAGGGGCGGAAACACAACAAACATAAGCCAAGCAAGCTGAAAAGGGGATGTAAAAGGATCAGGGTTTAGGACTGCAAACAGAAAACAGTATTTCATTCTAAGATTTGAGATTAAACTTTGGGGAGATTTGACTAATACTAAGGCATATCACCCCTTCACGGATTGCTGCCTTGTTGTGGCGAAGGGGCTTGAGTAATTCAGAGAAGCTATGGGCTGTGACGTGCAGGGACACCCAAGATAGACAGGTCATAGTGGAGAGTTCTGACTAAACGAGATCCACCTGGAGCAGGAACTGGCAATGCCACTCCAGTATCTTTGCCAGGAAAACTCCATGGACAGAAACAAAAGGCTGAAAGCTATGACGCTGGAAGATGAGCCCCTCAGGTCGGAAGGTGTCCAACATGCTACTGAGGAAGAGCGGAGGACAAGTAGCACCAGAGCTAATGAAGTGGTTGGGCCAAAGCCGAAAGGATGCTCAGCTGTGGACACACCTGAAGTGAAAGGAAAGTCCGATGGTGCAAAGAAAAATACTGCATAGGAACCTGGAAGGTAAGATCTATGAACCCTGCTAAGCTGGATGTGGTCAAACAGAAGATGGCAAGAATAAACATTGACATCCTGGGCATCAGTGAACTAAAATGGGTGTGAATGGGCGAATTCAATCCAGACGATTATCATATCTACTATTGTGGGCAAGAATCCCGTAGAAGAAATGGAGTAGCCCAAATAATCAACAAAAGAGTGGGAAAAGATGTACTGGGATAAAATCTCAAAAACGATAGAATGATTTCAATACAAATCCAAGGCAGACCTTTCAACATCACAGTAATCTGAGTTTATGCACCAACCACCTAGGCTGAAGAGGCTGAAATTGACCAATTCTATGAAAATTTACAACACCTTCTAAAACTCACACCAAAGAAATATGTTCTTCTCATTATAGGGGACTGCAATGCTAAAGCAGGGAGTCAAGCGATAAAAGGAACAGCAGGTAAGTTTGGCCTTGGAGTTCAAAATAAAGCAGGGCAAAGGCTAATAGAGTTTTGGCAAGAGAACAAGCTGGTCATCACAAACACTCTTTTCCAACAACACAAGAGGCAACTCTACACATGGACATCACCAGATGGGCAATACCGAAATCAGATTCATTATGTTCTCTGCAGCCAAAGATGGAGAAGCTCTATACAGTCAGCAAAAAGAAGACGTGGAGCTGATTGTGGCTCTGATCATCTGCTTCTCATAGCAAAATTCAAGCTTAAACTGAAGAAAGTAGGAAAAAACACTGGGATAGTCAGGTATAAAATCCCTTATGAATATGCAGTGGAATTAAAGAACAGGTTTAAGGAACTAGATTTGGTGGACAGAGGGCCTGAAGAACTATGGATGGATGCTCGTAACATTGGCAGCGAAAAAAAATCAAAGAAAAGGAAAGGCAAGAAAGCAAAGTGGCTGTCCAATGAGGCTTTCCAAATAGCAGAGAAGAGAAAGGAAACAAAATGCAAGAGAGATAGGGAAAGTTACAGAAAATTGAATGCAGACTTCCAGAAGAATTATACCAGAAAGATTTGGATGTCCCAGACAACCAGTGTGAGTATGGTTGCTGACCTTGAGCCAGACATCCTGAAGAGTGAAGTCAAGTGGGCCTTAGAAAGCATGGCTAACAACAATGCCAGCGGAGGTGATGGCATTCCAGTTGAAGTATTTAAAATCTTAAAAGATAACGCTGTTAAGGTGCTACACTCAATATGCCAGCAAGTTTGGAAAACTCAGCAATGGCCAGAGGA